ACACCTAGGGCTTGGTATGAAAGGTTAAGCACTTTTCTATTAGAAAGATCTTTTATGAAAGGAAGTGTGGACACCACTCTCTTTTTAATAAAATTAGGAGATGACATACTCATTGTTCAGATATATGTTGATGATATCATATTTTGATCTACAAATAAAAGTCTTTATGATAAATTTTTACAAATAATGAGTAGTGAATGTGAGATGAGTTTAATACGAGATTTGAGTTATTTTTTTGGCTTTAACATTAAGCAAAATAAGGAATAAACTTTTTTAAGTCAATCAAAGTATGTTAAAGACATCATTAAGAAATATGAAATGGATAATGCTAACCAGTGACTACACCAATGAGTTCTTCTGTTCAATTAGATAAGAACCTAAAGAAAAAATCTATTAATCAAAAGAAATTTAGAGGTATAATTGGATCATTACTTTATTTGACTACTAGCAGACCAGATATAATATTTAGTATTTGTTTGTATGCTAGATTTTAATATGAGCCAAAAGAATCACATTTTACAGCAGTAAAATTTTTTTTTGAAATATCTTTTAAAAACTCAAAACCTAGGGATTTGATATCCTAAGTACATCTCTTCATTTGAAATTATTGGATATTCTGATTCATACTTTGTAGGTTGTAGGGTTGATAAAAAAAGTACATCCAGAACCTGTCAATTCATAGGAAATTCTTTAGTTTTTTAGTCTAGTATGAAATAAAATTATGTAACTATATCTACTGCCGAAGCTTAATACATTATCTTAGGAAGTTGTGTGGCACAAGTACTTTTGTTGAAGTTACAATTGATTTACTTAAGATTTATAATTAGCAGAATTCCTATTTTTTGTAGCCAAAGTAGAGAATGAATTGAATCATTTTTCTATAGAAAATTAACTTATAGATATTTTTACAAATCCACTAGCCTTTGACACATTTAGCACCTTAAGAATGAGGTTAGGTGTGATTGATCTTAATGCTTAGATTAAATTTTTTGCAAACTTGATATGTTCGTTATTTATGTCTATTTAGTTTTTTTTTTTAATTTTGTTTGTGTGTATTCATTTTTGTTTTATATATTTTTAGACTGGAAGCATGTCACTTGATTGAAATAGTTGATTTTTGAGAAGTTTTTATGATTTTCATGTATTGTTCTCTAAGTGTGCTATTTATACTATACGAATATGTTTTCGTCCTGTATGAATTCTGTAGTATATACATGATAGTTTTGGGAGCTGAACACATGAAACTTATATGTTTCATACAATATGATGATGTCATCATACGATATGATTTGCACTAATTGGTTTGTACGCATAGGGTCGATTTTACCAGTTAGGTTCAATTATTAATTACTGATCGTACATACAAGATCATCGTTCATCTGTATGATCTAGTTGTCAATTTCTGTGGGGGACGAACCTAACCACTTTTAAAATGATCTTTAATATTCTAATTGTCTTGGATGAATACCTATTCGTATGTACGATCGAGTGATAAAAAAGCCTATATGAAAGGACATCTTATAAATGGAATTTTACAAAAAAGCATTTCATTTTTGGCCATTTCCATTCATACATAAGAATATAATTTTTTCCCATACGATTTAAAATCATACATACAAAACAAATTTTGTACTGTATGATAGGTCATTTTTCCTTAAATTGAAGGGACATTGAAGTCATTTTCATTCAATTTTTAAACACTATAGAGCCCTAATCTTAGGAATGGCTAGCTCAAGTAAACGTCCACATGTTTCCAAGGGTTCCTCATCTAGAAGTGGTGGGAATGACAACTTTTTGTCCAAGGAAAATGAGGATTCCTTCTTTAGGTATTCTTCTGCCAAAATCACTCCTTCTCGTCTTCTAATTCAGGATTATATCCACTTTTTGGTAATGCTCCTATTTGCTTCAACCCAACTCTCTTTCATTCTGACACTCATTTATGTGTATCACAAAGAAACTTTCCAGCATTTCTTAACCAATATAAAAGTTAGTGAGGACCAAACTAGGATAACTTCTTTTGTCTAGAAACAAAGAGTAGAGAATACCAAAGAAGATTTATGCAACTACCTTCGCTTAAGAACCCAAGAGATTAGAGCACACACTTTGACCTCTAGATCCGACTTTAACTGGTCTAAAATTAATAAAGTTCTTAGAGGTGTCTCTTAAGTGTGTCATTTATCAAGAGTCTACATATTTAACCAAAATGCTCATATCATTCAGCTTGCGTCTTAAGAACTTCAATCATTCCTAAGGCTGTTGATCATATAAATAAGACTCCTATCCTAGCCCAACTCATCATGGACTACATTTATAATCTTTTTGAAATTGGGCTTCCTCATCATAAGAGGAAAAAGAATGTGGATTTAGGACACTTAGTTGTATACATCCTACACAAGAAGTACAGCCTTATCCATCTTGATCCTCCCACTAAACTACCAATCTTTTTCACTGATGCCTCTTTTCGGGCACTTTTTGAAAGAAATCAGAGTTCTGATAGTGACAATTCTAAGGGAGAAGTGGAGCTCCTGCACCTACACTAAACCTAACCAAAATTACTTTTAGGAAATGGTCTAGTGGTTTGATTGTTTGGAGACTCACTTTGATTAATGTTTTGATCAAATTAAGACTCATTTAAATCAGCAGGATGCGAGATACCAAGAGGATATTGGTTAGATCCATGGTCAGTTTGATACGGTCAATATCAATGTAGCTATGATGAATAACAATTTTTTTATGTTCAATCAGCCTCAACCTCAAGATCAGGGCCCTTTAAATGATAAGTGTACTTCATAGTTGTTCTTTCTACCGAGCTTTTGAGAGTGATGTTATGATATTTTTCTTTCTTGTTTGTAGTTTTTGTTATATGTTGTTAAGTTTTTATGTGATGATGTTGAATGGTGTTATTTGTGGTATCATTGGGAGAGAATGTATGTGAAACTTTTTATATCAATGAAAATGCAATGTTTTGGTGACATGTTCTTATTTCTTGCTACTTGAAATGTTGGTATGTCTAATAAGAAAAATCTTTTGAAATTGATAATTGAAATGGGTAATAAATTATTTTGCTTTATAAATTAATTTTCTTATGAAAATCTAATCTTTCAAAAATTTAAATTAAATTATAACTAGATTTAGATAAGGAGATCCATTTCATGTTCTTTTAGATAAACTTATCTAACATATAATTATTGCAAGATTGTTGTCTTATTACTTTTTATTTCTTTTTCAATATACTTATTTTTGTTATTAGTGAAATATGAATTAGATTACTGATATTAGAAAGACACAAAAAGCAAATCAAAAGATTTATTATTTATTTTGGTTAAATTATATAAAAATGTGTTAATTTAGTTATGTTTGTATAATAAATGTTTAAGACAATGCAAAAATTTATAAGTGTTGAATGGGCACCGCAACGCTCATAGTTATAGTGCAACTGCATTGCCATCTGTAACACCCCAATGCTTTTTTTTCAATTTTACAATGCCAGCCTCCCAGGAATTTAAGAAAAATTTAGCACCCCGATAAAGCCAAGGTTAGCAATATAGCGCCGCATAGCATCATTGCACCATAAATCAGCACCATAGCACTAGAGTATCAGAAAATTGACCATCAGAGCACTGATCATCGAAATACCTCATTTCTAGATTATGATTTTAAGCACCACAACACTCAAAATTTTTTTGCACCACAGTTGGGCAGTTCTCAAAAATGATGAGCCACACTGACCTAGCTAAAAGATGCACTGGTTAAACTAGTAATTGTGCCAGGCCAACCTAATGCCACAGCGGCGCAAGCATTACAATGCTGAGGCACTAGTTCATTTTATGTTATCACGACATAACCATGTCGAGCATAACGACGCTCGAGCCCATTTTTGTACTTATAAAAATTGTTTTTTTAGTTCTTTTGTTAAAGAGTTCTATCATTTCAGTGGAGTCTTATACTTTATATTGCTTTCTTTTTGCTCCTCATTTGAGTAAAGTCTAAGGGAGGCTAGGAAAGTGCAAGATACTTTCATTTGTGAGATCTTAGCTTGTATTATGGAATCAATTCTATGGTTCGAAGATGGAGTGTGGAGAATTTCAATTAATCCTTCCAGGTGACAATTATCTTATTAATTCTTCTATATGAATGCAATGAACATGAGTTTCCTTTTGGTATTATCCATGTCTAGCTAAATATTTGAGTTTTAGTCTAATGGTGTAAACACACAGTAAGTACTAATGTAGACTCATATACTTTAAATTATTTATAGATATTATCAATATCTCTCATTCTTCATTTAGTGCATATAATTTCCACATATGTAGTAAATATATAGTGTGATCTATAGCCTCGATAGAGAAATATTGGAATAAATGGGATTATTAAAAATGAATGTTGGCATACCTAGTTATAGGATGTTAAACCTTTTAGATTCTATGGAGATAATATGATTATAGGAAGGACGTAATTCTCCCTTTTCACACGTACAAGGTCAACAGAGATCAATAAATGCATGTACTCTAGTCCATATCTGAAATTAAGAGCCCCATTAGGAATATTATGTTATCTTGCATTCATTAGTAAAATTTTTTTATTTTCATTAGTATCTAATTTTCTTGCAATTATCAATTAAGTTAAAAAAACTTCCATTTTATATTCAATAGGATAAATTGTGCAATAAGAATAAATATGAGTAATTTAATTATAATTAAGTAGATCACTTCCGTATGGGATCGACACTCTTCTTTATCACTTTTTTACTTAATTGACAGTATACTTGTGTATCGAGTGGGGTTTTTTTAGACATCAAAGAAAACTTAAGCATATTCATATTGCATGGTAGTTCTATGTGTATCTCAAATTATTGATTGTATAGCTCAAGTACAACATAAACCACCCATCACCTCTTCAAAAGGCTTTAACATTAAAGTACCTTCACCTGCAATATAAATTATTGACCTAAATGACCCTACAAGTCCATTATAAAAGTCTAAATAACCAACCAAACCGGCAAAATATGATGAGGGCACTTTCTAAGAATCTCCTTAAAACTTTCCCAACTCTCATAGATTGACTCTCCTTAAAATTGGAAAAAGGAAGTAATATTACTCCTAAACATAGTAATTTTAAAAGGTGGAAAATATTTTGTTGGAATTTATGTGCCAACTCATTCCAAGCATTTATAGAGCCTAGAGATAAACAATTAAATCATGTCATAATTTTTTCCCTCATTGAAAATGAAATTGAATAAGTCTAATAGCATCATTGCTGACTCTATTATACTTAAATGTTACACAAATTTTTAAGAAACTAGTTAAGTGAAAGTTGATATCCTTAACAAGAGTTCCCCAAAATTGAGAATTCTGAACCATTTAAATTATATTGGGTTTCAGCTCAAAATTATTAGCTTGGATAGTTGTTTGATTAATACCTTAATGAATTTGAACTAATGCATGATTGGCATAGTCCCTAAGAGTTCTTAGGTGGTCCTGTTCTGTATTTGGTTCAACTATTCCTAATGATAAAGTATTTTTGGATTTTCTTATTTTTGTAAGGATCCTTTCAATCTCTAAATTAAATAAAAAAGGCTCCTTACTAACTCTACTACACATACATTAATAATAAGTAAAAGGTGAAATGCAATCTAACAAAATAAATAATTACAAGATGGAAATAGTCACATATTCACAGAAGAACAATGATAACTTAATAAGATACAAGTTGAACTAAATATACAATTTTTTTAACAGTATAAAATAATTGTAAGAATGCACATTACTGTCTCCAGCAATGGTGCCAAAAAATTGATGGGGTACTATGAAGATGCGGGTTGTTTGTGTTGGCCTATGCTTATGTTTAAAAAAATATAAATCCCCATTAAATGTGTAAGTACACGTGTTGATCAAGTAATAAAAGTATTTATGACATAGTGTTAATCCCACGAGAAAGGATTATACTTCTCACAATAGTTCTAGTACTATTGACTCTATGCTACAAAAACTATCATACACATTGAAATTATGGTTGTATTATATTTAGAATGAGAATTATAGAAAGAAGTGAATATATTAATAGAAAAAGTATTTTTGACTAATGATAGTAAAATATTTTAAAATTTCTTAAGTGTACTTCCCTAAGCTTGTAAGGATGTGATAAAAGATTTATGGTCTTCCTATAAATGTTCTATCTTCATAGACCCTAAAAGACTAAGCATCCTATGTTATGGATTGCAAGTATTCTATTCTAGTTTTCCTAATTATTCCAAAATTCCTCCATCAAGGTAATATATTACACTAAGTTTTAATTCCACACATGGCTATTATATAGATTAAATTAAGATCTAGAGATATTAAAAATAACCATTTATAATTTTAAGTACAAGAGTTTATATAAGTAATTACTTGGGTTTACATAGATTAGCACAAAATTATGAGTTTAACTAGCCATAACATTAAAATAGAATAATATAATTTCTATTTCTAGCTTAAGTTTGAAAGTATAATTAGAACTAGTAAAATTAAATCATTTAGAATGAAATATCCCAAGCAGATCTTGTAGATGAACCCTTCCCAAAGTGAATATCAACTTACACCTTTGCTATCCACTCTCCTTTCCTCACCAAATGTTTGGTTGCTCACTAAAATGTTATCTAGTCACTCTAAAGAATGTACCTTACTATCCTTTCACATTAAAATAGGAGGTAGCGCCTCAACATTGTTAAAGGTTCTCTATTGCAATGCTTAGATGACCTGGCATGGCTGTTTGCTAATCAAGTGTGATTGTTGACTGATTGGGTGTGACAATTGATTGAACTGACATTATGCTTATTTTCCTTAACCGCACTATCATAATACGACAAAAGTTAGGTACTAAGATACTCACTTACATAATTTGGTGCTATGATGCTTCCGAGTTTGGCATTCCAGTGTTGAATTATTATGTAATTTTCCCAAGACTCTGGTGCTACAATGTTGATTTCTAGATTTGTGACATTTTGAAACACAACAACACTGACCTTGGTTCCAACGAGGCACTAAATTAAATGGAATTTCTTTGAGTCACAGATGGCATAATGTCGTGATATGGCATCAAGGTGTTAACGACACTATGTTGCTAATGGTTTTGATAGTATGACACTATTTAATACTTATGATTTTTTCTCCATTTCCTAAGAAATTCCTGCACAACATCAACTAAACACAAACATATTTGTTGAAATTAAATAAAAAAATATTACATAATTTTCACTTAAAAATCACACATCAATTCAAATTTTAAAGACTATTTAGGTGAAATGACACTAAGTGCAATAACTAAGTACTTCTTAAGTTTTTCAAATATAACTAAACAGATTGAGTTGAACTCAAAGGTACATCCTTCTCAAGTAAATGACATAAGAGTTTTTTAATAATTGAAAAGCGTTTTGTAAATCTTCTATAAAACTTTCATTATCTAGAAAACTTTATACTCCCTTAATAATAGTAGGAAGTCAAGAATTTCAATCACCTGGATCTTTGCCTTATCAACCTCCCTATCCCTCTCAGAGATTTTCTGTCTAAGAAAATTCCTTTCTTAATCATTAATTGATATTTTTCTTAATTGAGAACAAGGTTAGATACCCCACTTCTTTTCAAAATACTTGCAAAATGATCTAAGCAAATTATAAATGTCACTCCAAATATAGAATCATTATCCATAAAGATTTAAATTCCTTACTTTATTAAATCTAAGAAAATAGGCATCATGCATTGCTAAAATTTTGCAAGGGCATTCTCCTTAATGCAAAGGTTTCATAGGGACTCATAATGTGGCATTAAGAAGCTATTGGTAACTTGAATAACTATCTAAGAAAAATTTGAAAGGATGCTCGCTTTATTTGTTATTCATTTTATCTTTAAAGGGAAATGGAAAATGATTCTTCCTAGTGTCTTTGTTTAGCGTCCTATAATCTATATAAATCCTTCCTCTATTCACAATTTTAGTTGGGATGAGTTCATTCTTGTCATTCGTGACTATAGTTAATGTCACATAATAAATTATACTAACCCAATCACTACTAGAAGTACGATAAATGATTTATTCGTCTAACCATTTAAGGATCTCCTTTTTTATTATTTCCTTCACGACTGGGTTTGACCTCCTATATGGATAAGATTTGGGTTAAAAATCTCCATCTAGCAGGATCTTATGCATACACACAGATGAACTTATCCCTTGTATGTATGCAATAATCCAACCAAAGGCTTTTTTATGGTTTTTTAGAACCCCTATCAAACTTTCCTCTTGAAATTCATATAGATCAACTTATACAATCACTAGTAAAGTTGATGAATCACCCAAAAATACATGCTTAAGGTGGCTAGGAAATGTTTTGAGCTCTAATATGGATGCCTCTAAAATAGATGGCTTCAAAGATTCACCTATTATTGAAGAATTTGAGGTTTCATACTTCTTAGAGAAATGTCTAACTCCTAAGAGGATATCAATATACTTCCTAGGCTACCTTATATCCTCATTAATCAAAATTTGATCCAATACCTCTAAATCTAACATATCATCAAAAGCATCATCTATACAGCCCTCTACCATATATACTCCATAACAATGGTTTTTACTATCATAATTTGAGAATTTTATTGACTTTTAAAATATTGAATGTTACTGCTTCTTTCTAAACTGTCATGGATAATTCTCCCTTTTAAACATCTATCATAGCCCTACCAATAGCTAGAAAAGCTCTACATAAGGTAATTAATATTTCCTTATCTTCCTACATATCTAAAACAATGAAGTCTATTGGGAAGATAAACTTGTTTACCTTAACCAATACATCCTTTATCACCCCCATTGGGTAAGTAAATGATCTACTAGCTAACTATAGAGTGCTAGTTAAGAGTTGTACCTCACCTAAGTCTATTCTTTTAAAGATGGATAAAGGTATGAGATTAATTCTCACTCCTAAATCACAAAATGCTTTTCCACAGAACTTCTCCCCTATAGAACAAGGAATGGTAAATCTATAAAGATTCTTCAACTTTTTAGGAAGTTAATTCTACAAGATCGCATTATATTCTTCAGCAAGAGCAATAATTTCTTATCACCTAACTTCCAGTTTTTCCTAAGAACGTCCTTCATAAACTAAACATAACTAGGGAGATGCTCTAGGGCTTCAACGAAAGGAATATTAATGGTCAACTTCCTAAGTATCTCTAAAAACTTAGAGAATTGTCTATCCAAATTTGTTTCTATAGTTTTTGTGGGAATGGTGGTGGTGGTCTCTCTATAAATTTCTAATGGGTTTATCTAATGCAAAATAAAATTTAGGTTATTCTAGACATAAGATAAGATTTATTGATGTTTACTTAGTATGTTCATCTACTTGTACTTCCTTGATATGTTCATCTTTTCTCTCTACCTCCTATAACTCATTTTCACTTCTAAGCTCAATGGCCTTATAATGCTCCTTCACCTTAGCTTTAGGATTGGTTTTTGTGTTATTATGTAAAGTTTCTTGGGGTATATTATTCGAAGAATGAGCTAACAACCTTAACTAAATTTAAAGGTTCCTAATGGAAGATACTTGGCTTTGAAGTTGGGTCCCCATATGCAACACTAAATCTTCGAAATTTGGCCTTTTATCCTTATATTGGGTATTATAATTAAAATTTGTGGGCTATCTAGTTATATGGTTAGCATAATTCTATTGTTGAGTAGAATTCCATGTGCATATAGGACCGGGTTGTTGATTATGCCACCTAAAATTGCGATGATTCTTCCAACATGGGTTTTAGGCATAAGAGTATGAACAATTCTACTTATTAATCAAATTTAAAGACTTTACATCTGATGATCTAGGATCATTAGGAATTTTGTACATTTATTCCATTAGGGGCAAAAGTTCTTCTAAGTTTACACTAACTCCTAAGTTGTCTAGTTTCTTAGAATTAGCAGTGACCTATAAGGTCAAAATGGACAACACTTTTGATTCAGGCATAATGGAAAAAAATTTAAGGATCATTCTATCGGCTATAAATTATTAATGTCCATCTCCGTAATTAATGAGTAAGATTCATCAAAGGGTTTGGGCATTAAAGATATTATACTTCTGGCATCTATAAT